CCATAGCCGCCCTCTGCCCTCCAGCCTGCTGTACCCTGGCCATTTAGTCAACAGGACTATGACTAAAATCTCCAGCCCCCATGATTGGCCCGCTGGGCAGCATGTGATCCCAACCCGGCCAATCAGAGACTGCCTTTGGATTTCTTTGGGCCCTGGGAGGAAACAGGTTCTTGGGGGCTGAGGTTGCAGGGAGCCCTGTGGCAGAGCAGGAGGAGGCTGTTCGTGGTTGGGGCTGATGAGGCCACAAGGCAGACAAAGCAGAGACGGCCTGAAAGGGAGACGGTGTCCAGGAAACAAGTCCCCACTTCCAGGCCCCGAGGCCCTTGTTCTTGTGACACTGGTGCAGTCCTTTGAGCTGCCCCCAGGCCCTCCCTTGCCTGTTGCAGCTGGGTTTCTATTGCCTGCAAAAAAGGCCCAGAGCAGCTGAGTGTGGTGGCGCACACCTATAATCCCAGGATTTGAGAGACTGAGGCAGGAAGATCTCCAGGAGTTTGAGGCCAGCCTGAATTAGCGAGGCTGAACTGGGCTAATTAGTGAGCCTGAACTATATTGAGACCCTGTTTCACCAATCCTAGTCCCCAGATTGCTTCAGCAGCCAAGAGAGCCCAACAGGACCAGGGGTATGGGGGCCCAGTATCCCCCAAGCATCCCCAAGGGAGGGACTAGTCCAGCAGGGAGGGCACTTCCTCTCTGGAGGTCCCAGATTTTATCAACACAACTCTGGTATAAAAAACAGGGTGATGGCACCTTGGGCCACAGGGGTCAGCAGAGGAGCCATTCTGAGGTCAAGGTTATTCGACCACAAGGCATGGGGATGCACACCTGTAATCCCACTACTGTAGTAGGAGGCTGAGACAGGGAGATCGCAAGTCCCTCCTGAGCATCTCAACAACTTAGGGAGACCCTGTCTCAAACACTGAATAAAAGGGGTGGGGATATAGCTCCGTGTGAAGGGCCTGGGTTCAATCCCTAGTAAAAATAATAGAAAAGATTATTCAGTCATTAACAAGGCTTTGTTGACAGCCCCAATTGCCAGGCACTGAGGTCTCAGTGGAGAAGGAGCCAAAGTCCCGGCAGCTTCCTTTCTACTGGAGGAGGGAGAGAGGGCGAGCAAAAGGCCTTAGGGACCTTATAAAGCCCTGGCAAATCTCTATCCTAAGGACTCATCACTTCCAGCCACACTTCCTCTGGAAAGTACTTAGGGCCACAGTTAATAAGGGGGGATCGGGCCGGGGATATAGCTCAGTGGCACAAGCTCCTTCCTGGCAAACGCAAGGTCCCGAGTTCAATTCCCAGTACCAATAAAATAAAATAAAATAAAATAAAATAAGGGGGGGATCCTCAATCCCACCGTGTGCCTGGAAGTAGGCAGCTGGGTGTAAGTGGGGAAAAGCACAGTGACCCCAAGGCCCCTTGGGGCTCAGGCACATGGAGTCACCCACTGTGCCCTCGCCCGGCTCCCTGTCCAGAGCTCCCTGCAACGGCCCTCCCCCGCCCACCAGCTGATGACTGGAGGCGCCTAATCTCCTAAGCCCCGGCCCTTCATCCTCTGGCCTCTGGAGGAGGGACAGTGTGAATCCTCTGGCTGCCACCAAGGGCACTGGTGTAGGCCCCACAGCCCCAGCCTGAGCTGGAGCTGCTCAGGCCAGCAGTGACAGTGCCCAGCCAGCTCCAGTGAGCCCAGATACCCTGTCTTGTCCCAACAAATCACCCTCCCCAAGCCACTCTCTGGGTCGTCCAGCAGAAGCCAGGGCCAGCAGACCGACCGCCTCCTTGGCTCCGCCTCGAGCCAAGGTGGACAGGGCTGGAGGAGGACAGTCCCGAAGGCCGGTACAGGAGCTCTGGGGACAGCGCCCCTCCCTGTGTATGTCCGGGCCGGCTGGGTCCATCTCCCCCCGCAGCCTCCGCATCCAGGGGTCAGGGCCAGGCCTGTACCTCTGACTGCTGGCCCAGTAGCACTGCAGGGCCTGCCCGAGGGCCTGGCAGGGGCTCAGCTGGCCCGGGCGGGGCTGGTTCACTCTCGAGGAGCCTGAAAGAAGCTGGACGCCAGCCAGATGGCTCAGGGCTCAGAGGCGAGGGAGAGAGGGCACAGTCCAGCCACCACCCCCCCCCCCCGGGCATAGCCTTGAGCAGCCTCGCTCCTCTGCTGGGACCTGGCGCCAGGCTCAGCCAGGAAAAGCACCAGGGACAGTACGGCCGCAGCCTCCCCTGGGCAGCTGGGCCACCCCTGGAGAGAACCCTCCAGGAGTGGGTGAGGTGGTGGCAGCCAGTGTGTGCCCCCCGCATACCACGGGGCTCCTTCAGGTTGGGGACACAGTTTTGTTTTCTTTCTCCCCACCCTCTTTGGTACTAGGGATGAAACCCAGGGCCTTTGCACTGAGCTACATCCCCAGCCTGTTTACAATTTTTATATTTTGAGACAGGGTCTCATTAAATGTTAAATTGCCCAGGATGGGCTCAAACTTACCATCCTCCCGCCTCAGCCCCCCACCCCAGGGTGCTTGGGATTACAGGTGTGCACACGCACGCACAGCTCGGGGGGAGAGTCTTTCTGAGTGAACGCAGCCATAGCCATAGAAGAGGCCTGAGCCAGTGTGGTGGCGTGGGGGCCCCCGCAGCGCGGATGGACCTGTTCCTACTGGACGCTCTCGGCTCCTGCTGCCAGGACCCGGCCCACTGCTCTGGCTCCTTTTACACAGGACAGGGAAGGATGGGCAGCCTACGGTGAACGAAGGGCTATTTTTACCCATTATTTCTCCTGTCAGCTTGCTAGGTGTCCAGCCAAGGTGCGCCTCTGTCCTCCCTGACCGTGCTGGTCCCCAAGAGGCTCTGTCCTGCCAGCTGCCAGCAACTCCGGCCACCACTGGCTTTGTGGGTGCCGCCTGGGGGCCAGGGCAGGACCCTGGGTGAGAAGGTGCAGCCTCTGTGAGTTCTGAGGCAGAGAAGGGCCACAGAGATGCCACCACCTGGGGCGATCTGAGCCTCCCACACAGCTCTCCCTGCCCTAAGCCACCTGGACCCGGAGGTCCCATGAGCTGGGCTTCTATCCTAAAAGGGAGGTCAGAGGCCCCCCAGCTCCCCTGTATGGAGACAAAAAAAGGCAGCTGAGTGACATCCGTCAATCTTGGGTTCTGAAATTCCCTCCCGACAGCACAGCCCTCTCAGCTCAGCCCTGGGAAAGGCCGCTCCCCACCTGGGGTCCCCAAGCTGGCACGCCATAGTGGATGGATGCAGGTGACACTGACAGAGTGGGCCCTGTGGTCATTTCCACCCTCCGTGTTAGGAAGCAGAGGCTCACAGCCTGCAACCTCGCCAGCAATTCAAGCCCGTGTCTGCGGTACCCGGAGCCAGGACCCACCTCCTCCCAGGGCAGCCATCCTCGGGGTGAGTTCTGAGGCAACGTAAGCCTCAGCACCCCATCTAGAGGAGCTGGGTGCCACGCCCTGGGGGCTGTGTTGGGAGGCACTCAGGCACCAACTTCCTCTCTTCCTCCTCCTCCTCCTCCTCCCTGCCACCCCGCTCGATCTGGAGCAGAGTTGGCTGCGGCGGTGGGAAGGAACCGCTGGTTCTGAAGGGTTTTTTTTTTAACCACTTGATCACGATCAAGGATTTAATTTTATCCCCTTCCCCGCCTGGCTGTGATTCTATTTGGAGCCTGAGCACAGGCGGCAGGAGGGTCCCTGGAGCTCCCACCCCCGGCACTGCCCACTCCCAGCCTGCCCACCCAGCCTGCACAGCATCCATCTCGGGGACCCTCGCAGCCCTCCCCGGTTGGGGAAGGCTGAGGGCCTGCTCCAGTTAACACCCTTCCCCCGCACGCGGCTTAGGGGACAGTGGCTTGGAGGGGGCGGCAGAGGCGGCTTGGCTGGAGGCCACCAAGGGATCATCTCCGCTCTGCCTTGCTCATCAGAAAGTGTTTAGCAAGGGCCCCTTCCCAGCCTGAGCTGCACACAAGTACTTGCGAGCTACTTAGGCATGGGGAGGGCCATTGTATGTCCTGGCCACCTGGGCCTCTGCCGTCATGGTAGCTGCTGGGCGGCCTCCAGCGCTCTCGCAGTGAACCGTAGTGTTACCCTTGCCCAAGTGATGTGGACATGAAGATGGATATGGTGGGCACAGATACCCTAAATCTAAATTTATTTATTCATTTTTTTGAGACAGGATCTCTTTTGGGGGTTCGGGACGGCATCCAGCTTAATATGTAGTCCAGGCCAGGCCTAGAGCGCGAAGGGTCCTTCTGCCTCCGCCTCCCAAGTCTAATCTAGATTTCCAGTGGAAGACGAGTTTCTAGAAAAAACTGCAGCCTGGAGGTGTGCTGCCACGGCTGCATGGCAGAGGATTCAGCCTATGGATCAGGGTGGACACTCAGTGGCCACCAGGGGTGGCCCAGGGACAGGACACGCTCACCCTGCCCATCGCTGGGGATGATGTGGGCTACATACCTGCACACAGGAGCACCCAGAAATCAAGCTGGGTTAGTAAGACTGGGACATGGGACTCACACGGTGTCTTAGTCTGCTTTCTGCTGCTATAACAAAATACCCAAGACTGGGAAGTTTATGAAGATGAGAGTTTATTTGGCCACAGTTCTGGAGGATGTGAAGGCCAGGGCGTGGTGCCCACATGTGGGGCAGCCTTGCTGCTTGATAACATGGCAGAGGCTTCCTCTGGTCAGGGGAGCAAGGGTGCCAGCCAGGCCCCTCTTTGTTTTATTCATTTACTTTTTATGCTGGGGGTAGAACCCAAGGCCTTCACATGGAGATATATCCCCAGCTTTTTCTTTTTCTTTTTTTGTCTTTTTGAGACAGGGTCTCACTATGCAGTTCAGGTTGGCCTTGAGCTCAGTTTGTAGCCCAGGCTGGTCTTGAACTCGAAAGGATCCTCCTGTCTCAGCCTCCCAAGTGCTGGGATTATAGGCGTGTGCCACCATACCTGGTTCTTTTTCATTTTTTAATTTTGAGGCATAGTCTAAGTGGCCCAGGCTGGACTTGAACTTGTGATTCTCTTGCCTCAGCCTCCCGAGCCACTGGGATTCTGTGCATGCACTGTCACACCCAGCTGTCCTCTGCTTCTCCTCCCCTTCCTCTCCTCTTTTAAAAATATTTTTTTTGCACTCAGGATTGGACTCAGAGCTATCAGACTGAGCTTCCTCCCTAGCACTTGTTTTTTCTTTTTCTTTTTCTTTTTTTTTGAGACAGGGTCTCCCTAAATTACTGTTATCCAGGATAGCAATCTTTCTGCCTTGTCCCAGCTCTTCGTCGTCTTATAAAACCACCACCGCATCACATGGCCTCCACCTTCACATCCTCGTCTACCTCTCCAGCCGGCCCAGAGGCCCCTCCAAGTAGCACTGACACGTGAGTTTGGGGATTGTGCTTCCAACATGTGAGCTTTCAGGGTCGCCCGTGGGCCAGGAAGGAGGAACTCCTAGAGGCTTGGGGGCTGCGCAGGGTGGGGTGGGGCTCCCACAGGTGTGCAAACAGGGAAGGCCACCTGTCAGGTGCTCCTCCGGCCCGTCCCTGGGGACAGGAAGAGGCCCAGGCAGGGTTGGGAGCTGCTGCTCGCCTGACTTCCTGTCCAGCAGGGCTGGCCCTGGTGACCCCATGAGGAGACAGCTCAGTGTCCAGGAGAAGAAGGTGGTGAGGTGCTGGCTGATATCCAAAAGGCACTGATGTCCTGCCCTGGTCCTCCGAGGCCGCTCTTGAATCGGGACCAGCTGCACCCCAGCTCCTAGACGCCTGCAGTCTCCACCTCCGAACACCCAGTTCTTCCCGGGGATGGCAGATGGGGTCGAGCACTTTCTAACCTCAGCCCCGGTCAGCCTGGGCCCAGCTCCTCCTTGGGGAAGGTTAGGGGTGGCAGCCCTGCGCCACTGGGAGAGAAAAAGAAGGAAGCTGGCTCCTGGCCCCACCAGCTGGACCGGGTGCCACGGGCAGGATCGGTTTCCCCAAGACAAAGGACTCTGTTCAAAGCTGGGAGAAGCCCGGATGTTCACCTGTCAGGAAGGAAGAGCACGTTCATCCCCACTGCTCTCCACAGGCGGGGCTGGGCGCAGGGACGGGCGCTCTGGTCCAGTTCAGCCTCCCTCAGCGCCCTGCCAGCCTCACAGTCCTCACATCCCACTCCTCCCCTCAGGGCAGTGACAGCCACATGGCCCAGCACCAGGAGGGCAGGCCTAGGCTGAGGGACCCAAAAGCCACGGCTCCCCCAGGCTTCCCTTCACCTGCCCAGGAGCCCTGGCTCCTCCTACGCGTCCTACTTCCTGTAACACACCCAGCAGGGTGGACAGCTCTGGACCATGCGGCCAGCTCTGCCGGGGAGGGAGGACTAGGACCGAAGCCAGCGGGTCCCTCTGAGGCAGGACAAGGTTGGCAGAACACCGCGGAGGGGCGGAGTCTGCACAGAACTTACCTAGCAGAGGCCCGTGAATGTGTATCTGTATGTAACTTTTGGCTAACACGGCTTTTATTTGCTGAGCTTTTCTTGAGACAAGATCTTGGTAGGCAGTTCAGGCCGACCTTGAACTCACTATGTAGCCCAGGCTGGCCTCCAACTCCTGGTGATTACCAGGGTGTACCACCATGTCTGTCTATTTTTATCTTTCTTGCAATGATTACACATTCCTTTCTGGACTGGGAAGTTACAGAGAAATATGAATTTTTTTTTTTTTTTTTTTCCTTTTTGAGACAAGGTTTCACTATGCAGTTCAGGCTGGCCTTGAGCTCACTTTGTAGCCCAGGTGGGCCTCGAACTCACAGTGATCCTCCTGCCTCAGCCTCCCGAGTGCTGGGATTACAGGCCACCACGCCCAGCTAAGTTACTTGATGATGGAAGATGCTCGGTGATGATGCGCTCCCAGCCCCAGAAGGTATTCAGGCCACGGCTGGACAAGCCCTTTTCAGAGATGTTCTGGAGGGGACTCCTGTGTCTGACCTCTGTGTGGGCTGCTAGGACTTTTTTTTTTTTTTTTTTTTTGAAACAGGGTCTTATTATGTAGCCCAGGCTGGCCTTGAACTCATGGTGATCCTCCTGCCTCAGCCTCCAGAGTGCTGAGATTGCAGGCGTGTGCCAACACACCCAGCTTGGGCCAATTATTATGTCATCTAATACCAAGACTAGACAGATAGGTAGGTAGGTAGATAGATGGATAGGTAGACAGATAGACAGATGGACAGAATATTTTTTTGGACAGGGTCTTGCTATGTTGCTCATGCTGGCCTTGAACTCCTGGCTCAAGTGATCCTCCTGCCTCAGCCTCCGAGGGCTGAGACCACAGGCACCCAGCAGCTTGACACCGAGGCTTGAGGATGTGACTGCCACGCAGGCCTATGTTCTGAAAACCCGAGAGCACCCAGACCAGGGGAAAGTGTTTGGGATGGAAATGAAGCAGCGAGTCCACTGTAAACAGGGTGGGGAAGAGACCTACAATGGGACTCAGAAGAGTGGAAATGGAAATTTCTGGAAAATGCTTCCAAAGCAAAAATCCCTGAATGAGAAATGATCTCAGCTTCTAAACCGGAACACACAGCTGCGTGTCAATAAACGCTCCACTTGGGGGGTGCTGGGAGGGACGGGTGCTGTGTGCGGACTTTTGCGGGGCGTCAGGTGGGTGCTTAGTGTCTGTCCATGAAGGGGCAGGTGCCCAGAAGACCACCTGCCTCACTCAGTACCACCCCAGGATCACCCCGAACCTCCGAGGTCAGGAGTTGGGTGCTCTTTCTGGGATGTGAGGCTGCTGGACAGACGTGAGAAGCCTCCAGCCCAAGCTGCGGTCCATGCCACGGCCTGTCCCCAGACTCGGTGCCAGCAGCCACCCCTTGTCCCCGGGCCTCCCTGGCAAAGGGTCGCGCGTGTTTCTGAGGCTCCCCAGAGCCCTGACTTTCAGGGAGGAATCGGCACAGCTCACTCACTAAGCTAAGGAAACTCTGCCCTGCCCCCTCTCCCCAGCAGACGCACTTTCAGTTGAGACGCGCAGCCCTGGCGACCCTTGGACTTCACTTCTTCTGAAGATGACCCAGGCCAGAGCTGTCACTGCTAGAAGAAAAGCAAGGCCCAGGATTGCAACAAGGACAAGCTGGGGTGGAAAACACACCGCCCTGGATGGGGCTGCAGGGACACAGAAAAGGGGTGGCCAGCAACACCCCATTCCAGATGCTAGGACCTGGGGGGGGCAGGGAGCCTGAGCCCATCCCCAGGGCTCACTCAGCAGGAGCTTCAGGCCACGGAGCTGGGAGTGCGTGAGTGAGCATGCGTGCAGCATGCGCGCTGCACCCTCACACTGCACCTGCCCGCGCACGCGCTGCCCCTCCTGGGGAAGGTGTCTCCCCAAGGTCCTGCTTCCCTGGGATCAATGGCCTCGGCAGGTTCCTGTCAGCAGGCAGGGTCAGGGGCCTATGTGCAGCGGACACTCAAGTCCTGCTGCTGGCATAGGCTGACGGATGGACCCTCCCCGACAGAGGGCTGCCCCAGGGCTTGGGCTAAGGATGCACTGAGCTCTGCGAACCCAGGGCAGGAAAAGGACATCTGCCACCCACCACCCTTCTCCAGGCTCCTGGGGGAGCGCTGTTCTGAAATGTGACTCTGAGGCTGGATCTGAGGACTGCCCAGGAGGACCTGCTCAGGGTACGCCCAGCCAGCCAGCCTTCCAAGTGGGCACTCCGTAAATGAACACCACTGTCCCTTCCAGGAGACACCCAGACAGACAGTAGGGGCTGGGGTGCGGGTGGGAGCAGCTGCGTGTTGCTAGGACGTTGTGCCAGGCGGGAGGCCCTGGGGCGCATGGCTGGGCTGGTCAGGCCTCTTGCGTGGGTGCCAGCTCTGGGGCCAGGAACCCGGCTGCATGTTGGCCTCCAGGGTGTCATGGGGCTCCCAGCCGGGAGCAGCAACTTTCCTCTCCGGGAGGAGCCCAAGACAAGGGCCTAGGAAGTGGGGCGGGGAGGGTGGCAGAGGGAACAGAGCTGCCCCAGTGTCCCGGCCAGTGTCTCCCTGGGACAGACAGGCTGGTGCCAACTCACGGCAGTGATGCCCATAATCCCGGTCACCTGTAAACTCCGGGTCACAAGTGCACAACAACAGAGCTCTTTAGGGACCCTTTATCCAGCTGGGGACTCTGCCTGGGGCCTCCGGGGTCTGCTCGCTGGAGCAGCAGGCATGGTCATTAAGGTGAATGCGATGCGCAGGGGGACCGAGGCCCAGAGCAAGTGGACTGGCAGCAACTGCAACAGGGAACGGGAGGCGATGGGACCCCAGACACACACACACGCGCCAAATCCCAGTCAGTTCAAACACAGACCCAACACATGAAGGCGGCAGCAAGCTCCTCGTGTAATAAATATTGCAAAGCGCACTTGATTGCTTTTTTTTCAAGTCAAATATAACAAGCAATGTCCCAGACCCTGTTTTCTGCATTCAGCATAGTGAAGCTGTTGGTATCAGCAGAACACCTGCAGCCAATCACAGACAGGACCCTGTCCCACTAGCCAGCCAATCACCATCCTTTTCCAGTTTAAGCAGCCAATCGGGCCTCTTCACATTCCTAAAAAATGACCTAAATAAAGCACCAGAGCTCGGACAACTTCCTGGGAAGCCGGATACCGAGGCGCAAATTTTTAAAAAAATAAGAGTCAGAAATAAAAATAAAAGGTTTCCGTTGGTCAAGATTTAAAAATAAAAAGGTTTCTTCCTGTAGCCAATCATGAGTCCATCCCTTTAAGCCAAATGTAAACGCAACGCTGGTGTCCCCCGGGGCGTCAGCCCCGCTGCGTGGCCAGGCTGGGGGGAGGGGGGGGAGGGGGAGGACGGAGGGATGGTGGGCGCTGCCACTCAGCGGGAGCCACACAACCGTCTGGGCCTCAACAGCTTCCGGGGCGTCCTGAGGGGCTCACAGCAGCTACTGCCTCCGGTCCTCCGTCTCTGACCTGGAGAAGGCCATCACCACATCCTCTGCACCTGCAGACAGGGGACAAGAGGTGCTGGTGGGTGACTGGGACAAAGTGGGCCATGCCTCTGTGCCACCGCCACCCCCTGCGTGGAGCTGGAGGAAGCCCCTTCCCTCTAGTCTTCCTGCAGCCTGGCGGGGCAGGGGAGGGGAGGACACACAGCCCGAGGCCCCCATGGGCTCCGGGGAAGTTTCAGGGGCCACCTCACGGCTGCACGGTGGGAAGGGCCCGGACCATGACTCAGGACTTCAGCCCTGGAGCAGGATTTCCCCCACCCAGACCCCTTGCTCAGGTTCACCGAAGCCCAGGGCCCTCAGAACCTCCTCTCCCTCCTGCCTCGGCAGACTCACGGTGCTTTTCACAGCCACTCCTCTCTGCGGCAGCTTGTCCTCCGCCCAAACCCAAGCACCTGCTCCAGAGCGTGGCCAGGCCCCCTCCAGCCTGCTGGGGCCAAGCTCCCAGAGACAGACAATGCCCTCGATCCTTATTAGAATCTGTCCTAATCCTGAGCTGGAGCTGCTAGTCCAGGCACTCATGAAATCACCGCCTTTGTCTTGATTCTGTAAGACAGGCGCTGACACACAACCCAGAGAGGCAGCGGGAGGAGGAAGGAGCTGGAAAGGCCACGCCGCCCCCACCCAGAATGAGCCGCAGGGAAGGCAGGGCAGGCCGAGGCAGGCGAGCCACCCGGCGTCCAGTCTCCTGCCCTGGGTCATCCTTCTAAAGGGTGGCTCTGTGTCATGCCTCCAACAGTAACGCCTGGCCCTCTGAACAAACTTCTCGCCTGCGCTACGGAAGGAATGCTCCAGGGAGGGGCGATCGACAGCAGGGGCAGGAAAGGCTGCCCACGGCTGGGCTGGTGTGCACAGTGCCCAGCGCGACTGCAGCTGGCACAGCAAAGGGAAATCGCTCCTTTGGGGTGGTGCTGGAGGAGGGGGCTGTGAGTACAGGGTGTGACATCACAGAGCCGCACCTGCATCTGGCAAGGCAGCAGGGCGGTGCCAGGAGACCCACCTGTGTCCCACCCACCCGTCCTGCTCCCTGGCCTCGTGGCATTTCCCGGCACAACTTCTATTCCTGAAAAGAAAACGCTTCCGGGAAGGACCTTGGGTTTTCTGGCTTCCGAGGAGGCCCCGTGTCGAGAAGCTCTATAAACGCTCCCTGTCTTCTCGGGAACATTCTGTTCTCGCCCAGGCCTGGACCACGCAGCAGAGCTGCAGGCGGCATCGTCCTGGCAACACAGACTCCAATCACGTCACGTGCGCGAACGCAGCTGAGCCCTCACCTAACAGATGCCCACCTCCCCCGGGGCTGCCTCCCTCCCGGCACGAGGCCGAGGGGGTGACGCAGTGATGGGGCGGTGTCAGCAGAAGATGCCTTGGTGGCACCCGCTCAGTTCCTTCCTCAGCTTTCTTCTGGGGACCTTGGGGTTCTGCTGCAGGCCCACAAGGCACGGGTGTCCCGAAGGGAGTGGGGCAGCTGGGAAAAGACCCCCGCTCCAATTCCAGTTGGTGTCCTGCCCTGGAGGGCAGGTGGGGAAGTCACCCTCTCAAGGTCAAATGGGGACTTCGATGACAAAGCTTTGCAGGAGTCCCTGCCCCCCTGGCCTCCCACCATGCCGCTGGGCAGGAAGGGCCCAGCTCTAGCCTGGTGCTGCCCCAAAGGCCTCACTGTTCCCAGCCCGGCCCCAGGGAGCTTCCCTCTGGGGACAGACAGGCCACCAGCACGTCCACAGCACTCCCAGACCCAGGCTTCTTCTGTTTTTATTTTTTTGCGACAGGGTCTTGCTATTAGCTCAAGCTGGGCTTAAACTCACTGGGTAGTCCTGGCAGGCCTTGAACTTGTGGCGATCCTCCTGCCTCGCTTTCACCGTTTCTATTCAATATTCTTTAGCTTTATTTTGCATGCTGCGGATGGGACCCAGGACCTCACACCCTGGGCAAGCGCTCACACTGAGCTATGTCCCCAGTCCTGACACAGCTTTGAGGGCTCCCTGCTGGGCAGTGAGGCAAGAAAAAGAAGTAAGTGGCGTCCAGAGTAGAAAGGAAGCAATGAAACTATCTGTATTCATGGACGACATGATCTTGTATGGGGAAAATTCTAAGCAATCTGCTAAAAAAGTACAGTGTTAAAACTTGTACGTTAAAGTCGCAGGTTACGAGATCTACGAACAGAACTCAAGTGTGTCTCTACACACTAGCAAAGAGCACTCTGAAAATGGAGTCAAGGCAGTAATCCCACCGGCATGAGCATTAACAGTGAAAGCCTGGGAATGTATTTAATGAAGTGCAAAACCTGCACTTGAAAAGCATAAAATGTTGTTGAAAGAAATTGAACCCAATCCCTTCAAAATCCCAGACGCACTTTTTTGTAGAAACTGATAAATCGACCCTAAAATTTGTACAGAAACGAGGGACCCAAAATAACCAAAATGCCCTTGAAATGAAGGACCGAGTCAGACTCACATTTCCTGGCTTCAACACCTATTACAGAGCTGCCGTGGGCAGGGGTGGGTGGGCCTGGGGCAGGTCAGGCTGGAAGCTGGAGGCAGAAGGGGATTCGGAAATAACGCTCGGTTAGGGTTAGCTGAGTTCTGACAATAGCACCAAGCCAGCAAGGACAAAGAACTGAAGAAAAGGTGCTGGGATGACGGGCCCGTCACAGGCAAAATGTGATGCCGAGCCTCACCTGGCACCAAATACCACGATCAGCGCAAAATGGATCAGTGATCTCAAAACAAGAGGTGAAGCTACAGAAATCTTAGAAGCAGCACAGGAATTAATCTTCATGACTATCGTGGTCCCCAGCTGATAGCACTGTGGGGAGATGTGTAACAGCCAGAGGGGGTTGGCATACACCTATAACCACAGAATTCTGGGAGGCTGAGGCAGGAGGTTCTCAAGTTTGAGCCCAGCTTGGACAGGAATCTGGAGCTCAGTAGGATGAAGCAGCTGGGTGAGTCACAGCAGAGGAAGGACCCAGCACCAGACCCAGACCCTGCCCCACACCTTCAGTGCTGCCAGGAACTGGGCTGCGCCTTCGCTGGGGAAGGGAAATGACTGGCCTGTCCCTGTCCTGTGGACATGGAGCCTCATCAGGCCTCCTGGCAGAGACTGGACCAGTCCCCATCACTATCAGCAAGGAACCGAGGCCCAGGATTTCAAAACATCACCAAACATCCCAGTACTGTGCGGGGCTGAGGGAGGAGGGTCGAAAAGTTCAAGCCCAGCCTGGGCGACGTAGTGGCTTGGCCAGACCGTCTCAAAATAAACGAAGGGGCTGGGGACATAGTTCCACGCAAAGGCCCTGGCCCCAATCCCTATTACTAAAAACAAATCACCGAAGCAGCCAGGGACACCTTGTAGAAAATTCAGCATGGGACTCGATAGTGCCCTGGGGGAGCTCTGTCCCTCACCGCCCGCCCCACGGCACGGCCATCTGATAGCAGTGCTCTGAGCCAGGAAGGGGCTCTGACGGCCCCCCATCCCACACCCGATGCCAGCTCGGCCCCTTGAATAGAGCCAGTCAAGTGATGGGGGGGAGAAAAATGCCAACTATGCAGGGGCGCAGCGAGAGGGAGGCTGGCGCGGCGCGGGTGGCAGACAATGGGGTCACTGGTCTGTGCTGCGCTGGGAGGAACCTGGCGCATTCACGCCAGCGGGCTGGGAGGCGGCGGCACAGGCACTAGCGGTGTGCTTTGGACAGGGGGCCTGAGTCTGCGGGGCCCTCTGGGTATCTGAGGCTTGAAGCTCAAGTCAGACATCACTGGAGGAAGAAAAAGAGGGGCGCGGGCGTGGCGGCACACACCTCTGAAATCAGCACTCCGGAGGCTGAGGCAGGAGGATGGCTGAGAGTTCCAAGGCCAGCCTGAATACAAAGCTAGACCCTGTCTCAAAAAACTGACAAAGGGGCGGGGGTCCCAGGAGTGCCCTGGCTGTGAGGGGGTGCCCACATGACCTGGAGCCAGGAGGGACCCTGAGCCCAACCACATGCCCTGCTCAGCCACCTGACATCCTCGCTCCTCTCTGCCAGAGCGTCTCAGGACTGTTCCAGTGCGAGACACTCTGGGGCGCAAGCCCACGGCTGCACGCCTGCCTCCGAAGTACTGGCAGGCTCAGACGCCCGGACTCCACACCCCCGGGTTCAGCCGCCAGCATAGGGAGCTGACCTGGGCCGAGTGCTCCCCGGGCTCAGCGCTGACCATGCTGAGCCTCACCGCTCGCTCCCAGGTGCCCGGCTGCCCCCCGCCAGGTGCTCCAGGCCTCCCAGCCACTGCAGCACCACCCCAAACCCATCGTCCTGTCTCGAGTGCCATGCGCGTCTCTACCTGCTACCCACTGCAGCAACAGCACTGCCAGCAGCTCTGGGGAACAGCTGCCTGGAAAAGCAGGTCCCAGGCGGTCCTTGAGGGGCAGGGATGGCTGCCACCCCAGCCGGGTCCTCCCAGTGGACCCAACACCCACTGGGCAGCAGGTGCTGTTTCCAGCAGCGCAGAGCCAAGATCGGGTGCTCTACACGTCTCAGCTCCGACTGAGTCCCAGGCCCCCGGGGACGGCTTTTACCCAGAGGCGGCACGGCACTCTGGTTGCTATGGGAACAGCAGCCGTGATTCACAGAAGTCTCAGCTGCAGCTCCAGGCTCACTGCTGTCCACTGGGCCCCAGGCTGACAACCAGGTCCCAGACACACCAGCCGCAGAAGGACCCGAGCTGGCTCCCGAACAGGTCTGGCGCCTCCTGCACAGGGTGACTTGGGCTCCGTGGGTCCCACGGGTCCCAAAGCCCAGAAACATGGATCTGGGCCCAGCGCGCCTGGACTGCTTGTTTATCCATGGGAGTCCAGCCTCAGCTTCCTCATCTGTGAGATGTCAGGACCAGCATCGATGCCAGCGACCTAACTTGCCGCAGCATAACGTCACGTGTCACCCACACCCTCTCCGTGGCCTGTGCTCCACACAAGGGCTTTCTCCCCACAAATGTTTCCCCAAACACAAGCTCTCCCGGACCAGAGAGCATGATGGGACAGACTGGGGGTGTGTGGACTCCTCCAGGGTCATCTTCTAAAGTCCTGGCTTTTTCTCAAATCTCAGACCCTGGGTAACAGAACCACTTTGGGGGCTTTTTTGCTTTCGGAGGTAGAGTCTTGTTATGTTGTCTAAATTGACCCTGAACTTTTGAGCTCATGCAGTCCTCCTGGCTCAGCCTCCCAAGTACCCGACATTACAGGTGCTAACCATCCCACCTGCTTTGCGTGCTTGTTTAAAATGCATATGTACACAGTGGAGGTGGCTCACACCTGTAATTCCAGTACTTGGGAGGCTGAGGCAGGAGAACCACCAGGAGCTCAAGACTAGCCTGGGCCACACAGTGAGTTCAAGGCCAGCCTGAACTACATAGCGATCCCTGTCTCAAAAATAAATAAATATAATGCAGATTTCAAGGCTCATTTGGCAGGCATTCTGAGGGAGTGGGGCTAGGGCAAGACACGGGGTCTATATTTTAAACGCACGCCTGGTGACTCTGGTGTGGTGGTCTGTGGAGACCTGGAGCTACAGGCTGTCTTTGACCTCCGCCCCAGCCCTGAGCTATTCACCCTCCTCGCCCAACATCGTGGAAGAGGTGCTGGGCTCAGGTGTAGCTCGGTGGCGGAGTCCCTGCCTGGAGTGTGTGAGGCTCTGAGATCCATCCCCTGGGAGGGAGGGAGGGGCGTGGACGGGGAGGGAGAAGCAGAGGGGGGAGGGACAGAAGGGATTAGGAGGAGGAGGGAAATCTGTCCCCACTGCCCAAGGACGGGCCCTGGCTGTACCCATGCCCCGCCTGCTCTCCCAGGTGGCCTCTCAGACTGCTTGCCCCACCCCCGCCCCCGCCCAAACCCTTCCATCTGTCCCCTCCTGGCACTGGCCCACGGCCTCCGGACACCCACAGGCATCTCTGCTCCATGCGCCCACCATGGCCTCCTGCCCGGCTGTCAGCCGCACAGACCGGGTACAGCGCTGCCTGCTCTCCTCACCCACCACCTCCACCCCTCCGGTCGGTCTCCGATGTCCCCATCGCCATCCGGATAGCCCTGGAACCTTCCTCTCTTGCTGGCCCATGGATCACGATCCCCCCACACCCCCAACCCCGCCTGGGCTGGCAGTGACCCATGGGAGCTCGGGATAAACGCGGCAGAGCTGTGTGCCTCTCCAGCTGCCCACCCTGGGGACCCCGGGGGAGCGTGTGGCGCGGGGCCGGGCTCAGGGCCTGCCCAGCCTGCAGCGCCCTCTCCCGCCGGTTTCCAGGTGCCCCAGGCCGAGGGCACGCGGCACTTCCCCTGTGGGTGCCGAGGTGGCTTCTCCCTCACAGCCCGCGGCCGGGCCGGCTGCTCCCGTGTGTGTCCGCCCTGTGCCGAGCTCACGGTGACCACGGCTGACAGCACGACACCGGCCCTTGGGACAGGGTGGGGCCCGCTGTTCTCAGGGAGCCCCAAGGTGAGGGTCTGCGAGGGGCTCCGGGGCTTGCGGGCTTTTCCTCTCGGACCTAAACAGCAGCACTGGCACACAGGTGCCAAGGGTCACGGTGGATGGCAAGGCTCAGGGTGGCCCTCGGTGGAGCCAGGTCAGCGCGCTGGCTCTGCAGCTTGCCCTCGGCAATCCCTGCTCCTCTGTGGACATTTTCCTTCTTCCGTGACACAAGCCCTATGCCAAACCCTCGCTGGCTCCCGCCGGGCTCCGCGCTGTGCCGTTACTAGGTCACAGGTAATTCTCGCCGCAGTGGTGATTAAGGCTGGGTTCTCCAGGGCCCGAGTGCGGCTTCAGCCCAGAGTCTGCTCTCGCCTGGGCCTCTGGGAGAAGCTGGGAGCCACAGGCTGGAGAGAGGAGACCCAAAAACGCCGCCACGGAGGAGCCGCTGAGCCAAGACCCCGCCACAGCCCTCCCGATGGGGCGGCGGCAGCTCCCGAGCCGGAGCTCGGCACCCGCTGAGCATGGAGGGCCGGAGAAGGCGCCGAGCCAGAAGCGAAGGCTAGGGTGAGGAAGGCAGCAGTGCGGGTCCACCCAACTCTCCACCAGCCGCAGCTGCAGAGACTGGCTGTTCCCCCAGAGGGGCCGCGGGGTCCCCCGGGAGGTGCTGGGCAGCGTGCTGCTGGTCTGGCCGAGAGCACAGCTCTTCTAACAAGCTCCCCGTGTGGCTTGGGAACCTGTTCCAGGCTCTCTGGCAGCAAACCCGGAAGCAGCAGCCTCAGCTTACGGAGGGGGAGCCACCAGGGCCTGAGCCAGCCACTGGCCGCACGGCAGGGGGACCACCCCGGGAGGTCTTTTAGAGACAGGATGACTGGACACAGGCGATGACAGGCCTGGACTCATTGCCACCACGCAGCTCCCAGGAGCAACAAGAGCAGTGCTGGGCATGCTAACGTGCCTGTCACCCCAGCACTTCGGAGGCTGAAGCAGGGATCGCCTTCAATTTGAGGACAGCCTAGGCTACACGGCAAGACGCTGCCTCAAAAAAAAAGTAGGTGCAGCCCGTAGTCACACCGGATGGTTCTTGGATGAAATTCTGAGGATTTCTACACCAGATGTCTGCCACACCCAGGGCCCACACTGACAGCTCGAGGGTCTAGAGCTGCTTAATCTCTTCGAGCAGGTTTCTCACGTGAACGTGGCCCTGGGACAGCACCAAGGTCCCAAGGCTACCATGGGGGCTCCCGGTGCCCTGCAGCAGGAGCTCGCCAAATGCAACAGGAAGGGGCTGACCAGCGAACTGCAGCACAGCCCAAGGCGGCTGCTTATCCTGCAACTGCGAAAATGCTTTCTTGGAAATTGCTTATAAGCAAGGCAAATCCTAAGTAAAAAGTGGATGCTAAAATGAGTGTTAAAATATTTATGCTGGCTGGGCATGGTGGAGCACCCCTGTAATCCTAGTACTCGGAAGGCTGAGACAGGAGGATCACCGTGAGTTCAAAGCCAGCCTAAACTACACAGTGAGACTCTGTCTCAAAAAAACATTTTTTATGCTGTATGTATTGTAAACAGCTAAGTAATAAGTATTAGAGCTGGGCCCTCAGCACAGAAGACAACTGTGGTGGGAGGCAGATTCACTGAAGGCCAGGCTTCAAGAAAAAGGAACAACTATACCCACATACTTCCCCTAGGAGCGAACAGTAGGGATTGATATTCTGCAGAGGCATCAATCCCCTCACCTTGGGTCAGGGGCCAAAGCCTCCCCAGCCCATTCTGTCCCAGAAAACCCTTGCGGTTCGGCCCAGGTGCTCTCGCTACATGACTTGCTTCCCCATTTGACCTCCATGTAATCAATACACCCCAAGCCACTGCACCTGTCATAATCTGACTGGTTCACCATAGTTCTGTCCCACCTTGAACGTGCCTCACCTCGTGGCTTTGCTCAGTAAGACGCCCTTGACAAATGGGGTTGGCGGAGAGCCCACTTTCTGGGCCCCCTTCTGTCAGGAGGTGGCGCAGGTCACGTGTGTGACCGAGGGCTGGCAGGGCTCTGGGCGGCATGGTCTGGGCTGGGCTTCTGGTGCCCAAGGGAGAAACCTGCTGCCTGAGGGAGGGCCCAGGCCACCCTGCCCCGTGTGACCTCGGGGGCCTGGGGGTCTCAGTCACCAGGTCAAGGGCCCAGCTGTGATCACCCTCGAAGCAGCGGGGAGCCCCTGAAATTCCAAGGGGGAGGGAAACTGCTGATGTCCCCAGGTTTCAAGTCACCCTGGTCTTGGGGTCAGGAGAGGAGTCTGGGTGGAGGGCCTGTTTGAACCACGCTGACCGCGCTCTCTGCTGATGCTCTGGGACACAGGTGACCTCCCAGGGAGGGCGTGGGAGATGAGGGACAGGACAGCAGCACATGGGGAGAGGGGACGTGGTGAGGGAGGGGAATGGGTCGAGGGGACAGGAAGGAGGCTGAGAGCAGTGAGGTGCAAGGGGCACCCCCTCAAGTGCGGGCCTCTCCCTAGGTCTCAGGTCTGCAGCCCCAGGGGACAAGTCCCTGTGGGCCTCAAAGTGATGGCCAAAGCCCCAGGGACAGGGTCCAAGGGGAGTGGCAGGGGGTGACAGGCAGAATAACCTGCTATCTGCTGGCAGACAGCGCCACCTGGTGGGCACAAGGCTCTCATGCCAGGCCCTGGTCCCAACGCGCCAGACCTGTGGGCATCGCACACCCTGGCTCCCTGCCCCTACCCTACCTCCCAGAAGCACTGATCCAGGCTTCTGACACCTGGGCAGCGCCCACGCATCTGACTGCACAACACCCTGTGGCTCGGGCTGAGGCTGGCTCTGCCGGGGGAGGGTGGCAGGTTTGAATTTGGCCCCATGGCAAGGGCAGCACCACTGGCTCCTGGCCTTAGAAGCGTGAGCCCTCAGGGCAGACGAGACTGCAGTTTCATGGTTGTGTTTGTTTGTGGCATCTTTAGACACACAAGATAAGAGCTGGGCACAGCTGTGTGCACCAGTAGTCCCAGTTGCTTAGGAGGCTGAGGCAGGTGGATCCTGTGAGCCTAGGAATTTGAGATTCGCTTGGGTAGCAGAGTGAGAAACTGTCTCTAAATAAAATAGATTTAAAAATAAAAATAAAAAAGCTGAACATGCTGGTACATCTCTGTAATGATGTGATCACAGCACTCTGCGGGGCTGAGGCAGGATTACAAATTCAAGCCCAGCCTGGGCAACTTGCTGAGACCCTGTCTCAAGATATAAAAGTAAAATGAAATTTAGAAAGGGGCTGGGGATATATAGCTCAGTGTGGACCCTGGGTTCAATCCCTAGTACAACAACAATGAAAGAAAAGAAAAAAAGGAGGGAGGGGAAGGAATGGAGAGGAAAGAGAAGACAGCTGGGTATGGGGTGCACACTTGTAATCTCGGTATTCAGGAGGCTGAGGCAGGAGGATCCTGAGTTTGAGGCCAGCCTGGGCTACACAGTGACCTTCTTTCAAAAAGAACAAAAGAACAGAACAGAAGACCTGGGAAGCTCTTCCAAGCACAGCTCCCCTCTCCATCCCCAGACACGGAGTCCTCCAGGTCTGCCGCAGCAGAGGCGACCGTCCCAGGTGTTGTGGGGCCAGGGTTTGGGAGCCCCAGCCACACCTTGGTGACTCCGCCCAGACAGGAACTCCCAAGCACCGCCCCTGTGGGCTCCGCCCTGCAGCTCCTGCTGGCGGCTCAGCAGTTTCGGGCCAGGTCCTGTGGGAGGCGTGGTCACTGTGTGAGCCCAGCAGAGCTCATCTGCGTTCTCCACACTGCCTCAGCCGAGCCAAAGCAAGAGCTCCCTCCCACTGCCTCAGCAGCTCTGGGTCGGAGGCCCCTGGAGGCCCCAGGTCTGACCCAGGCACTGCAGTAACAAAACAAAGGCTTGGACAGTGTTGGAAAATGCACACTGCAGAAGATTGTGTCACGGAAAGTGGAGGTCCTGACACAGGCCCGCCCTGTCAAAGGCATCTGGCGGGGTGGAATTCCACCCCTAGTGTCTCTCACACACGGTTTTCTTTCTATTAACAGCTGGGTCCATATTTCATTGGCTTTTCTTTTTCTTTCTTGAGACAGGGTCTTGCTATCTGCCCAAGGCTGGCCTCAAACTTCTGGTGCTCCTCCTGCCTCAGCCTCTTGAGTGCTAGGATTACAGGGGCACGCCACCATGCCCGGCTGTTGTCAGTTTTCCTGTCCATGTGCCAGTGAGCGTGAGTTGGAGAGACACACTCTGGACCTGTGTGACTTATTTTCTCTCCTCCTAGGTCAGCCCGCTAGAAGCATTCTCACCACCCCACGGCAGTTCAGACAGCTCAGTGGCCGAGACCACGTAGGGAGGACGCTGAGTTCCCGGGGACTCAGGCCTGAGGGTTTCGGGGACACCTCTCAGGAGGGGCCAAGCTCCATACTGCACACCCAGCATAGCTACAGAGGTGAGTGCTGCCCAGGGAGCCACCCAAGCCACCCACGCCCTGGGAGGTTTCTGCTGAGTTGTGCATGGGCTGGGTCATGCCCAGTGTCCCGCTTGGGGACCAGCCATTGCGCCAGGTAGAACCAGGCACCAGGAGAACCGGGCGGCACAGCACATGCGCCACCAGCACCCTGGGGATCCGGGGAGGCGGCTCACGTCTGGACACGCCACAGCCAGGATGTTTTATGGCTGATTAATTCCAACAAGGTATAAAGAGCAACGGGGAAGGACTACGTGGAGAGTGTGGTCAGAACACGGACCACAAAGCCTGCCGTAGTGGGGCACACTTGTAATCCCAGCAGGGGAGGCTGAGGCAGGAGGCCAGCCTGGGCTACGGAGTGAGTTCCGACCCAGCCTGAGCTACTATTGAGACCCTGCCTCAAAAAACAAAAACAGCTGGGGTATAGCTCAGTGACACAGGCGTCTGCCTGGCAAGCTCAAGGTCCTGAGTTCGATTCCCAGTACCAAAAAAAAAACCAAACCACACAGAAGGACTACTAGCCCCAGTGTCAAGATCAGCCTTCCCGAGAAGGAGAGCAGCCTTGCAGGCTCAGGCTGCAGGACCAAGGGCCACGACTTATGGTGTTACCAGAAGCGATAGGAACCAGAAGTTACCAGAAGCGATACTGCCGTCTGCAAAGGAAACTGCGAATGATCCCCTGGCACGGTGCCTGCCACCGTAAACACTCTCGTTTGCAGTTACCCCAAAGCACACAGAACTGCCTCAGGCACATGGAGAGCCCCGGGGCTTTGGGTGTCCCTTCTGGATGTCGGCGTGGCACACGGGCCAGCTTACTGTGCGCCTAAGCCGGGTGCGAGGCCGACGGGGCCGGGCGATGCTTAAGGAGACTCTGACTGGAGCCCCCCAGGCCTGGAAAGCGATCTGCCGTGGTCCTCTCTGGGCCCGCAGCTCCCCCTGGGGAGGGAGGGGACCCGCAGGAGACTCTTCTGTCTCCCTCCCGCCTGCCCCAGCCCGCGCGCCCCGTCGGGCTTCCTGGAGAAGCACGCCTCGCTCACCCTGGTCGATGGCGTGCTGGGGCAGCTGGCTGAGCTGGCTGCTGGCCACGCCCGCGTAGGTGCGCAGGAACTCCTCCTCGCTGGCCGTCAGCTGCGGAGGGAGAGGTGCGTGAGGCCGCGCCCCGCTGCCCCAGTCCTGGGGCCTCCTCTGCTCACCCCGGAAGCCCGGCCCCCACAGCCCACAGGCCTTGAGCTCCGACTGAGCCTGAGAAGCATCGAGCCTGGCCCAGGGCCGGCGGGAAGACACAGACCTGCCCAAAGCCACTGGCTGGGGCCAATGCCACACGCCCCCTCACTTTCTGAGCGGGGCCCCTGGGCCTGCACGCTGCGGCCCTCCTGCATGTCCTGCCCAGCTGCCCCTCCCAGAAAGAAGCCAGTCTCACGGGGGAAGACAGGAAGGCCGGAGCCTCAGATCCCCCGGCTTCCCGGCCCAGTGCGGTACAGGTGGGCAGACTCCCCACACCCAGGAACCAGACATGTCAGACTCTGGCCTTGGCCCTGAACTGGCCACACAGCCGGACCACAGTCCCCTCAGTCCCCTCCCCAGACCACAGGGCCCAGGTGCCCTCGAGGTGACGCCCGGCACTCACGTTTGAGCCCATCTTCCTCAGCATGAGCAGCACCCGGACCTTCTGCTGGATGTACATCTCCTCCGGACTCTTCCCGGACGCGCCCTCGCAGTTCATCCCCCTGGCCCAGCTCTGAGGACTCCTGCAGGGGGCGGGGAGATGTGTTGTGGCGAGGCGCCTGTGGGTGACCCTCGCCTCCTCAGCCTCTTCCCACCTCATCTCACTGCTAAGGCAGAGAGGAGGGGATGAGCTGCCCGCTGGCCCTGGAGCAGGGGCTGTGGCTGTGCGCGGAGAGCAGGGACAGCGCGAGGCCACCGTCCTGCGGCTACGCGTGCGGGAGACAGGTGCACAAGGCCCTCAGGGTCCTGGCATCCGAAGAGAGGCTTGGTGAGGAGCCAGTGACCCGATCAGAATGGCTGTCCTGGGCCTTGAGGACCCATGGGACCCATGCCAGTCCCCAGTGCAAAACGGAACCCTACAGCAGCCCCTGCCGAGGTCAGGAGGCCAGCGCCGGGCCGGGGCCCGGGAGTCCCGCGACCAGAGAGCTGGCTTAGCACCGAGCCCCAGGGACCCACGCACCCCCACCTGTCGGAGGGCAGTGGCTGCGTCCAGGTGCCGAGGGGAGCTGACCACAGTGGGGCCCCAGGAGAGAGGCTCTGGGAGGGGCGGAGGAGAGGAAGCAGGCGTGGAGGGGCTTGGGTTACACACTCGCAACTCCTGGATGAGTCAGAAATAACGCAGCAGCTGGTGGGGTGGAGCCTCGCCAGCCCTGGTGCCAAGGAGCTGCGCTCGGGGAACCAGGGAACCAGGCCAGTACGCCAAGGACTCCTCACGCCGTCCTCTGCCAGGGGCCGTAAGCCGGACCAGCAGGCTCTCCCGGACGGGGCGCACTTGGGCCAGGGGGTGGGTGTCGGGACCATAGGACCCAAGGCCCTGGCCCAGAGCCCACACAATAGGCTAAAATCTGTGCCAGCTGGGCGGATGCCACAGGGGGACACCGGATTTGGCAAAGGCTCCTGCAGGCCCTCCCTCCTCTACACCCAGCCTGAGGCCCCTTCCTCTGCCACCGCTCCCCACCAACTCCTGCCAGGCCCAGAAGGGGTGTGAGAGCCTGAGGCCAGAGCAGCCCAGATCCTCGCAGCCGGTGGGAGGGCTCGGTCCTGGGCATCAGCGCTTCTCCCTGCTCCTCGGCACCCACAGGGCCCTGCGGGGCAGGGTCTGTGCTCCCCATGACTCCGGTGAGCCCTGCTCTGGCCTCAGGCCTGCACGGCCGGGCTCCACCTCCCTCCTAACGCTGCCTCCACTTATGGCCTTGGGGCCCCCTTCTTCCCTCGCCCCTCTCACCCCGGGTCAGCCAGAGCAGGTCTCTGCGAGGCCAGCGCCTCTCACGTTCCACGATCCGTGTCCCCTGGCCGGGGACAGCATCTCATCACTGTCACCTCAGCTTCCCTACACCTTTCCAGGGAGGCATCGCAGGGCAAGATGGAGGCCAGCTCTGCACCTGCACCCCAGCACCCCAGCACCCCATCTGCGAGCGCTGCTTCTCGGTGCAGCTCGGCCTGCAGGGCCTCGGGGCTGCATCTGCCTCAGCTGCCCGGCACCCTGGAGCCTGGCGCTGGGAAGCACCTGCCTGGCTGGCTGAGTGGGACACGGGGACAGTACTGGTGCCTCTGCTTCCCCCTCCTGCAACTGCAGCAGCTTAGGGCCAAATGTCACTGCATTAAAAGACCCAAGTACCATGCCAGCCGTGGTGGCACACGCCCGCCATGCCAGCACTTGGGAGGCTGAGCCAGGAGGACCACCACAGAGCAAGACCCTGTCTCAACAACACACACACACACACACACACACACACACAGGGAGTCAGGGCTCCCAAGAGTAACAAGCTTCCTGTTCTGCCCAGGGGCTGGTCCAGCCTGTGCTCCCTTTGTGAGACAGGATGGGGGGTGCAGGGGCCTGGCCACTAGGTGTCAGCACACACAACAGCTCCAGAGACACAGCCCCGCCCCCACCCCAAGGCCTGGGGGGCGGCCGCCGACCTGCTTCCGTTCACACCAGTCCCGCCAAGGTGGCAACTGAGCATCCCGCTGGGGCTGCCGCTTCCCTTCCTTTTTTGTGTGGTCCTCGTTCAATGCACTGTGCTCCCCGCCAACCCCAACGCCCCCTGCACTCCTGCGTTTTGAGGGAGGGTCTTGCTACGTTGCTAAGCTGCCTCAGCTGGGCTCAAACTTGCGATCCTCTTCCCTCGGCCTCCAGAGTGCTGGGATTACAGGTGTGCACCACCACAACCAGCTGTTTTTACTCCAAATGCACTCTCAGGAGCCACATCCATCCCTTCATGCAGACACCGGTCCTACAGGGGTCGTGGTAGTCCTGTGCGCGGCCACCTCCCGGACGCAGGGGTCCTGGCGCACACTCCGGGCTCCGCCGCGGCACAGAAGCAGCGTATGTGGGTCTGGGTTGCAGGACCTTGCTCTGTACTACAATCCTGCCTTCCACCGTCTTCGCTGGGACTCTCACTGTCCTTGGGACCCCGGCCCCGGGGCGTCACCAGAGCCTGAATGGGCGTGTGCAGCCGCGTCATGTCCCCTTCCACACCCTTCCCTGACAGAAGCTGTTTCTCAAGCTGGCTCTTCTTGCCTTGCGAAGACTCCTGAGCTGTCATTTCTAAAAATTCTGCTCATCTAGGATTTCTCAAGCTCTGCGTAGAGCTGCCTCTGCGGGGAAGGAACGCCCAGGGCCGGATCTGGGGCAGAGGCGGCCTGGAGCGCAGTCCCCACCCTGCACAAGGCAGCCGGAGCACCGGGGAGACGCCAGGCCTGGCTGACACCATTCCACCCCGTCTGTGGGCGGGCGTCACTGTGACGGAGACTTGGAACTGAGGGAATTCATCCCCATCTACCCACACTGCACAGGCGCTGCGGCTGCTGGAGTCTAGCGAGAAGTGCGCCTCGCAGGGCGTTCGGGTTTGTGGCCCAGCTGAGAGAATGTGACATTACGTTCTCGTCACAATCCCGACAAGCAGCGGGTGAACCGCACTTGGTAACTGCTACTTTCCCCTCTAGGCATCAGGAACTGGTCTCCGTTAAAATGTGCTTGGATTGCAGAAGCTCAAACTGCAGCTCATTTGGACATAGCAATGATCTGTTCCTCGGACCTGAGAACCAAAACTCAGTGTCATCCTGTCTTCTATAACGGGGCGCTGCTGCCTTTTAAAACTTAAAGAGAATTTCCCACTGGTAGCTGTCCGAGTCAGAGATGAATAAAAAAAAAAAGAAAAATGAAGCCAGGTGCAGCGGTGCATGCATGTAACCCAGTACTCTGTTAGGCCGAGACAGGAGAATTGCAAGTTTGAGCCCAGCCTGGACAACTTAGCAACTCAACTCAGCTCAGAAATAAATGCATACGTACAAACATACATAAATACTGGAAAGGGCTGGGGCTGTAGCTCAGCGTGAAAGCCCTGGGTTCTATCCCCAGTACCACAAAAAAGAAAAAAACTAAGAGGAAAATGGAAAGCAACAACAGGTAGCTGTCAATTATGTAAATAAGCAGGGGAGGGCTGTGGGTGCATATTATGGGGCAGTGAACCATGGTCAGGTGAAAAGTAGGTGCCATTCCAGGTAACGAGCTGGGACAAACACAGATGTGTGCATACACACACACACACACACACACACACACACACACACACACACACACCCCACCCCCACCCCCACCCCCAGGTAGGGGCTGAAGGAAGTATGCTCGGCCAGTGAGGACATTGAGGAAGTAGCTCCCGGCCCCGAGAAGGATCCATACACACAGTGAACTGGGCGGCTCACGGCCTGAGAGGCACCTGCATCCTCTGGGGACAACAAAGGGCATGACACGACCCTCCTGCCCAGCCTGCGTGTGGACCTCTACTGACCACCTGATCGACTTTATGGGAAGGAGGAGGACCAGGAGAGCAAGATGAGGTGGGGACAGCAGCAGCCAGGCAGGGAAAGGCAGCTGGTGTGGACAGGGCCGGGAGAGCTGGCCTCTCGGTGACAGCACACGTGCCTCTGGACACGAGCACTGCCACCTGCACTCATTTGTATTTATAAACCTGGAGTCAGTGCCGTCTGAACACCTACGGTTCCATAAATTAGAGAACACTTATACCCAGGGGTCTGCACCCGCTTAGAAAAAAGCAAAGCAGCTCTGTAGGTAGACACCAGACAGGACCTGGGGCACAGGCGCCCCTGACCTTGGGGTCCTGTCCTTTCATTCTGCCCATTTACAAACACATGGGGGTGATGCCCGCCTAAAATCTCAGCACTCAGGAGGCTGAGGCTGGAAGATCACCAGCAGCCTGAGGCCAGCCTGGGCTACTTAGTGAGTTCAAAGGCAAGCTGAACTACATAGCAAGATCTTGTCTCAAAATAAATAAATAGAAAGTGTCAGGGCTGGGCTTGGGGGTACACACCTATAATCCCAGCACTTGGGAACCCGAGGCAGGAGGATTATAAACTCAAGGCCAGCCTGGGCTACATTGTGAGAACTTGTCTCCAAAAAGCTCAAAAAGTAAAGAAATAAAAGATATCATGATAAATTTTAAACCTAAAAATGAAAATACATTTTTGCAAATTCTATATTGCATAAGAATTGTAACTGTGGCCAGGATATTGCTCAGCAACACAGCACCTGTTTGGCAAGTGTGAGGTCCTGAGTTCGATTCCTGATACCAAAAAAAAATCATAACTGTGATTCAGAATTTATGTAAAATATTAGAGTTTGATTCCTGGTACAAAAAAAAAAAAAGGGAAAAAATTAATTCAGAACCTGTGCAAGTCTTACCCTAAAAGAAATCAGCAGCACCACAGCATTCAGTGAAAGAACACACAGGCAGGGGCGCAGCCAGGGGTGCAGCATGCGCTTAGGGAGCACAGGGCTTTGGACTCCTGCCTCAGCAGGGAAGAAAAGAAGGGAACAAAGGGAGGGAGGGATGGGCCCTCAATCTAGTTCAGTGGTGCACACCCGTAATCCTAACCACTGCGGGAGGCTGAGGCAGGAGGATCACTTAGCAAGACTCAGTCTCAAAATAAAAAGGGCCGGTGATATAATAGCTCACTGTGAAGGCCCTGGGCTCAATCTGCAGAACTAAGTAAGAAAAAGGAAAGAAAGAGAGAAAGAACCCACGCAAGTGAAGAAGTGGGTGTCCTGGAGAAACGCAGGAGAGGCGCCCGCAGCACCACCCATGGCGGCCCCCAGGGCCCTTCCTTGCTCCTTACCTGCTCTGGAAGTTAGCTTCGGCTGTGAGGCTCGGGCTGCGGCCGGGAGGAGGAGGAGGCTGCCGCTCTGTGGGAACACAACACGGTCACAGAGGAGCCACCTGGCACATGCCCGCTGAGGGCAGGAAGGTCGCGGGAAGCTCACGGCCAGGGCAACCGCAGTCCAGCAGACGTGTGTGCCGCAGCCCCAGAACCCACTGTGGCCGCACTGGGAGCTGTCACCAGCCGTGAGCACCGGGCTCCTCCCCAGGGTTAGTCACCGCGGACCACAGTGAATCACTGGGTGACAGCGGACGTCCCACCCGTCCAATGCCACGCAAACCTCAGCTCCCTGCCAGGACCATGACACACCTCTCGCAGCACGGAAGCACACCGCTCTGCTCCCCACCTTGTCACCAGGGTCACACCTGCCGCCTAACCTGGCGGGGGCGTGGTCGCTGAGGGCAGGGGCCGCCCCAGGGCCCCAGCGCTCTCAGCCTCTGCACCCAGAGCACAGGCCAGAGGTGGCCTTCCAGCCCTCAGCCTGCCCAGAGAGGCGGCCAGGGGACAAGTGGGAGGCGCAGGCCCGGGGCCAGCGGGAAGCAGTCCTCATACCCAGAGCGTGCGCCCAGGGGCTGAGGGAGCCAGGCGTCTCCAGGCCTCTGTGCCCGTCCTGTGCGCCCCGCCGAGGAGCGATGGATGCACAGCACCCCGCGTCAGACCAGCCCTACAGGGGCAGGCCATTTATAGCAACTAATTGCTCTTTATTCTTCCAGTATCAAAGCACCAAAATACCAAGGAGCCCTGGGGAACTCTGCACCCAAGCCTCACGTTCCTTCAGAAGGAGATGAAGGGAGCCCTCTCCCGCTCTGAAGGCTCGGAGTCCTCCAGCTGCCTCGACAGCTGCGGTCCCCCCCCCCGCCCCGTCTGTCTGCAGGGCCCGGGCCCTCCAAGGCGCGATGCGCCCTGATTTAGGGGAAGGAGCTGGTCAGCCAGCGCAGGGACCCCGGGCAGCCACTCTGCAGGTCATTTAACCAGGTAATTGTCTCGGGGTCACACAGAAGCCGACTCAGGATCAAGGTGCTTGATCACTGGGCTCCGCCTTTGGGCCTGGGCCGCTGACCAGTATGCTCAGCGGCTGGCCACCGTCCTGTGAAGCCACGACCTGGACCATGGCCTCCCGGGGCTGGCTGTGTGGCCTGAGGCTGGGACAGGGGCACTGGCCCGGCTTGGTTAGCTGCTCTGCCACTGCCTCGAGGGTTCTGGAACAGGGGGCCCCAGCCCGGAACCCACGCGTCGGACAACCGCTCCCGAGCGCAACACGCAGTCAGGGCACCTCAAGCACCGCCAGGGCCACAGCACTAAGAGGCTCTGGCTGCAGAAGTCCCCAGACCGTCCTCGGACACGAGGCCCTGTGCCAGGTGTGGGACAGGGACGCAGGAGGAGGCTAAGACGCGGAGCTGGCGGGTACAGATGGCCCGGTGCTGCCCACACCACAAGGCAGGGAAACCCGCAGGAAGATAGCACAGTGACGGCCTGGAAAGACCCAAACACTCCTGGGCCGCCCAACATGCATCACACAAGCTTCGAGGCAGGAAGAAAAGACCTGGGGCCTCAACCCAGCACAGCAATGGCAGAGCAGGAGGTGACAAAGCTCTGAGAATCCAGGCGTGGGGCTAGCTGCCAGGGGCTCCAGGAGGAAGTCACAGGAACTGGGTCTTGAAGGATGAATAGGAGTTTACTGGTTGAAAGAAAGAACAGCACAGCGCACAGATGTTCCCAGCAGGCCTGGAGAACACAGAGGGCCCCAGTCACCCCCAGGACAGGGTACCTCAGACACTGCGGCTGAGGACATGGAGAAGCGCGCAGTGCCCTGGGCACTCACTGCAGGCAGCCCGAGCAATCAGACAGCAGTGGCTTCCCAAGGACAGGCGCAACCGCTGGCCCGGGCCTCCACAAGTGGACACGGCCCTCGGGGACTGGGCGCCTCGGGGAGCACTCGGAGGGCTCTGCACCTGAACAAGACTTGGTGCCAAACCAGACCACGGCACGCCAAGCCGTCCAGCTGGCACCAGATGGCTGTGGGGACCCTGGGGCACCTGCTGCAGGGGGTCATGCCACGGAGAACCGAGGGGAACAGAGAGGGAGGCCTGGTCCACGCAAGCGCTGAGTGCTGGCTGCCTCCTAACGGTGAGAGGCACGGGAGACAGAAACACAGCCAGGCGCAAGTATGAGAAGCCCAGCTCCCCGTCCTCCCCTCTCCCCTCCAGTTTGCCCCTCAGCCCCAGCTGGCGCACAGAAGTGAAGGGTGAAGAGCCGGGGTGAGGGGACCCCACTCCATGTGCGCCGGCCGCCTGGCCCTGTCGCCAGGCACACTTCCCAGCAGTGCTTCGGATCTATCGGCCGTTCCAGCAGTGTGGCTCCACCCCCTAGACGTCATAGCACCTCCTCCAGGTGAAAACACTGCTTTAGAGAAACTGCTAGGCAGATGCAGTGGCGCCCCATTCCCGTAATCCCAGCACTCGGGAGGCTGAGGCAGGAAGACTGCTGTGAGTTTGAGGCCAGCCTGGGCTACACAGTGAGTGCAAGATCAGTGTGAACTACAGAGCAAGACCCTGCCTCAGAAAAATGAAACAGAAAGAAAGAAAGAAGAGAGAGAGGGAGGGAAGGAAGGAGGGAATGAGGGAGGGAGGGAATGAGGGAGGGAGGGAGAGGCAACTCACTGTTCACCTGTACCCTGGCTCACTATTTGCCCAGCTATTTCCAACCCTTCAAATAACCAGCACTGGTCTGGCTTCACAATGAAGACACAGGGGCACAAGAGGGGACAAGACTCCTCTGCGGCCACCAGGCTGGCCTGGACTGGGGCAGGATTTGAACCCTGGTCCTGCGCCCCTAGAGCGCGTAACTAAAGAAGTAAGACTGGGCTCAGAGCCTGGGGTGGGACAGCGGCAAGGCCTGGCCCGCGGCTCCTGCCCAGCCCCACACCTCAGGGGGTACCTTGGGTCCTCTAGACACACAGAAAACAGCGGCGCCAGAGAGAGTTCCCCCACCCTGTTCTCAGTAATTAAACTGCAACAACCTCCAGGTCTCTGGGCCTTGGGAGCGACTGGCTTAATTAACAAACTCCACCTCCAGCCTCCTCCACCGGAGCAGCTGGCCCCAGGGCCCGCTGGGAGACAGTGTGTAGGGTGCAAAACTGTGTTTGGGGAACAAGGGTGGGATTAAGAACCTGTCCTGGGGTCACCGACCCAGTCACTGGCGGGGTGCTGCGGCACTCCCTGATGGGTCTCCCTAACTGCCGTCCTCAGGGCCCGCAGGGCAGGAGTCTGGCTCATTTTAGGGTTGGCACAGCCGAGGCTCCAGAAGCTACCTGTCCTGCTTGAGGCCACGGGGCCCACACGTGGCAGGACCGGGATGTGAGCCCCAATTTACAGGCATTCTTCGTTCTAACTGAAATGAAAACAAGGCTTGCCTCAGCAGAAAGGAGGTAAGAGAGACAGAAAGCAACCGGCCAGGGTCCAAGTGACCGCCAGCCAGAAATCAGAGAAGACAGCCCGGCAACCAGAGAGGCAGTGCGTCCTTGAGGGGACCCCAGGCGGCAGAGGAGAAGGGCCGAAAGAACATTATGGGCGGCTGGGAAAAAATAAGATATGACATGAGAGCACTGTATCAGACTTTTATGTGTTGAGTGAAATATCTTGTCTTTGATTTTTTTTTTTTTAATATAGTACTGGAGATTGAACCCAGAGCCTTCACACTGAGTTACATTCCCATCCCTATTGTACTTTTTATTTTGAAGACAGGGTCTCACTAAGTCACTAAATTGCCTAGGCTTGGGATCCTCCTGCCTCAGCTTCCTAGAGTGCTGGGATTACAGGCGTGTGCCACCATGCCCAGTCAACATTCTGGTTCTTACACGTTAAAGGCTGAGCCAGGTGTGGTGGTGCATGTTCGAGGCCAGCCTGAGCCACACAGAGAGTTCAAGGCCAGCCAAGGCTACAGAGTGAGACCCTGTCTCAAAAACTAATAAAAAGAAAGAGAGATAGAGTATTTAAAGGTGAACCATCTCTATATTTACAATTTACCCTCAAAGAGTTCAGGAAACAAAGCTTGCACATGCAGACAGACACTATGCAAGCATACATGGCGAAAGTTAATCTTAGTGAATCTGTTAATGGATACATGAGTACCCACTGTACTATTACAATCTTTCCGGAGATTCTAAAACAAAATGATAAGCTGACAAAGATGCTCTTGGGAGGCTGAGGCAGGAGGATGAGGAGTTCAAGCCCAGCCTGGGCTACTGAGCAGGATCCTGTCTCAAACCAAGCTCGGAAAACATAACAAGGCCCCGTGGAAGAGGAACTACCCCAGGCCAGGAGAGGCAAGCAGCCGCTCTCCGTGGCCCCTCCGACGGCCCCACCGGACTGCAGCCAGGCCTCCTGCAGGGCGCGTAGCCCCTTTCTCCATGTGTCCCACCTCGGGGCGCCCGTCTGCCCCTTCTGGGCTGATGCTGGCCCTGGTGCACGGCACTCGAGAAGGCCCTGGCTGGAGGTTCTGGCAGCGACTGAACCAACTCCAGCGGACCTGATGCAACACAGCCCCTGGGGGCCACAGTGTGACCCCCGCCCGGCCCCATGGCCAGACAGGGAAGGGGGCCCTGGAACCGGCAGAGCCAGCCCAAGCCACCCTTGGGCGCAGCACACAAACCCAAGGGCGCCGGGACAGGCCAGAACCCGCCTGGAAACCTGCAGGCCGCCAGGGAGTGAGAAGGCGCCTCCTTCCCGCTGCTGTCGGGGCAGGCGGCCAGATCCCAGCCCGCCACCCCGTGCCCTGTGTGGTCAGGCTCCCGCCGGGGCACCTTCACCCCTGGAGACAGCTGGTGATGTCTCAAGTGTGGCTGTTTTGGGTGTGTTCGTGTGTGTGTGTGTGTGTGTGTGTGTGTGTACACACACGTGTGTTTGGTGGGGATGGAAGCCAAGGCTTCACACACTCGAGGCAAAGCACTCTTCCACCCTGGACCCTTGGAGACCGTGACCGCCAGAGCTGGGAGAAGGCTCCAGCTGCCCTCTGCATCCAGGTGCC